GAGGTCAAATCCCCTTTTAATATCTGTGAAAAGTTATAGAATAATGTCCCTTTCTTTACCACTCCTGCACAGATGGGCATGAGTAAATGTTTCTTGCTTTTATCCCTCTTTCTCCTTTTGAGACTGGTAGTTTTTTTTCCCTTTAGTGGTCATCAGAGTCATCTCAAAGATGAAAACCCAGCCAGGCACTGGTGGCTCACGCCTGTAATCCTAGCTACTCAGGAGGCTGAGATCTGAGGATCACAATTCAAAGCCAGCCTGGGCAGGAAAGTTCGTGAAACTCTTTATCTCCAATAAACCACCAGAAAACTGGAAGTGGCACTGTAGCTCAAGTGGTAGAAGCTCAAGTGGTAGAGTGCTAGCCTTGAGCTGAAGAGCTGAGGGACAGTACTCAGGCCCAGAGTTCAAGCCCCATGACCGACAAAAACAACAACAACAAAAAAAACACCCAAAGTTTGCCTGACCCCCTCACTCCCTCCCCACTTTCTGTTTCCTTCCCCTTCTCTTTTGTCCCCCTCCTCTCCTTCCTTCCTTCATTTCTGTTGTACTGGGGTTTGAACTCAGGGCTTCACACTTGTGGGCTGGACCTCTTTCACTTGAGCCATATTTCCAGCCTAACAATTTGCATTTCTAACAAACTTCCAGTTGACTGTGATTGGTGGTGTGAGAGGGTCACATGGTAAGAACCACTGTCCTATACTGTCAGAACTGGTGCTCTTCTACTCTAGATCACTTCAGTGTTGGTCCTATAAACTTGAAACCTTATGGACACCTCACACAGAGTTTGATCATATTTCTCTCGGGAGCTTTTGTATGGTGACTTTCTGATATACAAGTGATCTATTCGACCTGTGTTTTCTTGGTAAATAATTTTGTTCATTTGAATAGAAGGTCAAATCATAAATATTATTTGTAGAAGAGATAATATGCTTTACCAGTATTAAGCTGTGGCTTTTCAGGCATGTTATTAGAGAATTCCTCACCTTTGGAATAGGATGTAAGCTTTAGCCAACAGTCCATCAAGGTCCCTGAGGGCAGACATTTTGAATGAAGAATCTGGCAAGTGAGAATGGAGTATCTGACCCAGCTCCTATGACCTTGAGAGGGACTACAACTGCATCCATAAGAGAATTGGACTAAATGTCTTATACTTTTTAGGTGGATTAGTGCTGAAGGCAACTTGGTTTACTTGATACAAATATTACTCTATGATACCATCTTAAAATTCCTGAGCTAGAGCCAAATACTATCCTAATAGTGTGATTTTCTGCTGTAGCTGGTTCTGCCCTGTCTAGCTAGACTATCCTTGATGACACAAAGTAGTCCATTGAAGCATGAGTCTGTGTCGAATTTTTTTCCCCCAATCCTTGGGCTTGAACTCAGGGCCTAGGCACTGTCCCTGAGTTTCTTTTGCTCAAGGCTTGCACTCTACCACTTGAGCCACAGTGCCACTTCCAGCCTTTTCCTTCCTTCCTCCCTCCCTCCCTCCCTCCCTCCCTTCCTTCCTTCCTTCCTTCCTTCCTTCCTTCCTTCCTTCCTCCCTCCCCCTCTCTCTTTCTCTCTCTCTCTTTCTCTCTCTCTCTTTCTCTCTCTCTCTCTCTCTCTTTCTCTCTTTCTTTCTCTCTTTCTTTCTCTCTTTCTTTCTTTCTTTCTTTCTTTCTTTCTTTCTTTCTTTCTTTCTTTCTTTCTTTCTTTCTTTCTTTCTTTCTTTCTTTCTTTCTTTCTTTCTTTCTTTCTTTCTTTCTTTCTTTCTTTCTTTCTTTCTTTCTTGTTGTGGGGCCTGGGTTCTGTCCCTCAGCTCTTCAGCTCAAGGCTAGCGCTCTACCACTTGAGCCACAGCGCCACTTCCACCTTTTTCTGCTTATGTGGTGCTGAGGAATCAAACCCAGGGCTTCATGCATGGTAGGCAAGCACTCTACTACTAAGTCACGTTACCAGCCCCATGTGTTTGAGTTTTTATAGATAAAAACTTGAGTTATACCGGAGAGATGTCTTCTGTTACTTTTCTCTGTAGTTACATTTAAATGTGTGTAAAACTGTCTAAGGTGATTTGACATGCAATTACCCGTTTTTTCAGAATCACAGTCCTGAGGAAGCCTCGGGGCTTGTTTCTAGGCCACAAATCACGACATTGGTTATCCACAAGTATGAATATTCAACTAATAATTTCTGGAAAAATATTTTTAAGTACTAGCTATTAATGCTTCATAAAGGTATGTATATTCCTTAGTTCTTTCAGAGCTCATAATGTATCTTGACCAGAGCAGAGATTTGTTATTAAAAAAATGTTCAGGTCTAGCAGATGACATCCTTAACTGTTATGCTAGAGTTCATATGTAATCCTAAGCATATGAACCATAAACACAAAGGAAGAAATGAAAATGAATGGTAGAAGTAAATCAACCTGTGTTCCTTCTATTTAATCTCAGAATATCAAAGCACAGTCTTTTATTTTAATTCAAAAAGACTGCTTGTAGAGGTGAGGTTACAATGTTGCAGGAAAACAAGGGTCAAATTTTCCAGAGGAGAACATGTTTCTTTTTTCATTTGGCTGTGCAAGATAGGAAGGGGGATTGGTGCTGCTTAGGTTCTAACAAGGGTTTGTGTCCACAAGGCCCATTTTAGCTTGGGTGGTTAACCTGCTGAATCTCACATTACTGACCTAAGTAATGTAATTGTGCCCAGTCCTGCCCCATATAGCACACTTTAAATATACATGAAAAAGTAAGTGAACACTTAAAAATAATAAATAACAATGGGGAAATTGATGCTAATTCAGTCCTATTACCTTCGAGGTATATGTGTCTGTGTGTCTGTCTGTGTATGTATGTATCAGTACTGGGCCTCATGTGCTCATGGTGCATGGAGCCATCCCTCCAGTTCCAGCTTTTTGCTGACTTCAAATTGTGATCCTCAGATCTCAGCCCCCTGAGTAACTGGTATTATAAGTGTAATGCCTGATGAAGTTGAGTGTTAATGTTTAACACTTGACAAAACCCCCTCTGATTGTATGGCAGTGTCCTGTCTAGGATAGTTATCTTGGCTGGGCAATCCTCAAGATCTCATTGGTGTGAACTCCCCAAGTGTATTTCATGTGACACTATGATTACCTGGTCATCTAGAGCAAAAGGTTTTATATGTTTGAGTTGCTCAATCTTCTTGTTTGACTTTGCCCAGGACCATGTATTTCAGAGCTTGTTCTGTTCAAGCTCCTCTGTGCTCAGTGCAAGTAGGTGTATATGGAAGAGAAGGCCTTGTATTGACGTGGTATGTTCATTCCAGGAATGGCTGGTGGAGAAGCTCAGGCAATCTTAGGGACCTGAAAAGGCCTATTGTGTGCCAGGTGTCAATATAGGTATGAGGGTCCTAAATGTGTGGCCCCTGTCTTCTAGTCAGTCTCATGATTAGATCATACCTAAGCCATTTTTAAAAGTGTTTATGTATACATGTTGAACATAGATAATGAGTTAATATGGACAGAAGTAGGGTAAAAGGGGGAAGAAAGAAATAGCTGTTGTAAATATTTTAGATTTGGATTTTACTGTTTGAAGATAAAATTAGGCTTTGCCTGTTTATCTGAAAGTGATTTTAACTCGTTAGTCATTTACTCAACAAGTGTTATAACACTGTGATAGCCACAGGAGGCAGACTCCTCAGTCACTCTCTGCAGCCTAGCTTCTTGTGAAAGAAACATGTTCATTGGCTAATCACAGCTGTTTTATTGGATTGTGGGATGAAACAAAGAAATATAGGCTGCTGGTATGTCAGGGGGCCTGACCTAGTCTGGGGCATGGGAGTATAGGAGGCCAAGGAAGGCTCCTCCGATGAAGTGCGTGTTCAAGCTGAGACTTTCAAAATCAACACTTAGCTCAGGAGAAGGCAGAGCAGAATCTTTTAGCATAGGACAAGGGGGTAGCTGGTCCTCAGGTTGGGACGTGATGTGATGTGGCTGGGAAATGTAAAGGTTCACATAGCAAGAGAGTCATAGGGCTGGGAGTGTGGCCTGTGAGAAGACAGAAGCACGAGTGTTGTGTGCCTTTCACTGTCCTTACCACTGGGACTTCCCTCCCAGAGCTCCTGAGTAGTGTGCATCACTCCATTTCATCCCTCCCTGCCTTAGGACATGGATGACATTGCTCCTTCTGCTCTGTACATAAGGTAATTCAAGGTTGGACACCAGGACTTAAGACAGTCAAATATTACACAGCTGAGAAACAGCAGAATTTGGATTTTAGCTTGGCACTTGCTCTAGAGTGTCTCTTGCCCATTTGTTGACAGCTCTGATAGTTAACGAAAGGCAGAGATTACAAGTTTGGAGCAATACAAAGGATTTTCCAGCAACTCACTGTTAAGAAGTACACATGTCTGGGCTGGGAAGGTGGCTCAGTGGTAGAGTGCTTGCCTTGCATGCATGAGGCCCTAGGTTCGATTCCTCAGCACCACATAAGCAGGGGAAAAAAGCTGGAAGTGGTGCTGTGTCTCAAGTGGTAGAGCACTAGCCTTGAGGTGAAGAGCTGAGGGACAGCGCCCAGGCCCAGAGTTCTGGCCCTCGACCAGACCCCCTCTCAAAAAAAGAAAAAGAAATACACGGGGCTGGGAAGGTGGCTCAGTGGTAGAGTGCTTGCCTTGCATGCCTGAGGCCCTGGGTTCGATTCCTCAGCACCACATAAGCAAAAAAGAAAAAAGCCGGAAGTGGCACTGTGGCTCAAGTGGTAGAACGCTAGCCTTGAGCTGAAGAGCTGAGGGACAGCGCCCAGGCCCAGAGTTCAGGCCTCACAATCGGAATTAAAAAAAAAAAAGAAAAAGAAAAAGAAATACACATGTCTAAAGGTATTGGTCCCAAAGGTTGTCATTGTTTATTTCAGTGGAAACCAGAGGGCACCTGTCAGAGCTAGCAGGAAGGAGTTGAGACCCAAACTCCCTCTGATCAAGTCTCACACTTTATTTTTTGTCAGGCTATTCTATATTCATATATGTGTATATGTGTGTTTTCTCCTCAGTGACCATGAAAGACACCAGGCTGACAGCACTTGAAACTGAAGAACCAATGCTCCCTGGAACAGGTAAAGTATGAGTTCAGTCCAGTGGTTGGAGGGAATTATTCAGCCTATCCATGGGTATACCGGGATGCAGATACTTCACATTCCAGGATTTAATATGTATGGTTTTAGCTCCCTTCCAGGACCTGGACTGAAGAAACTGGTCAAATTACTAATGGTTTACCAAATGCTTATTTAATACTAGGCAATGTGCTAAGTGTATTGTTTTCTTTATTGCCACTGTTTTGGTATATATTCATTTTATAGTTAAGGAGCCATGTAAAAAGGTCTTATGTAAGATTCCTAAGGTTGTATAGCTAGTAGTTGGTGGACCTTTGATTGGACCTTTGATGTGAATCAAAGCAGAATATGGTTATACCCACTAGTTAAATTGAAGTATTTATGCTAAAGTAAGTCATTTAACGTGCTTGACTCTGGCTGAGGCTTAGAATTCATTTAGATTGATACAAAGTTAAGTTTGGGGATAAATGAATGTGTTTTATTGGTATATAGAAATTGAAAGATTCCTAAAGTCCACACTATCCTTCATAAATATTGAAGTTTTGGAATTTTTCTGGATCTGAGTTTTGTCTTAGTGATCTTACCAGTGAACTCTAATTTTGAGTTCATGAGGGGAATACCAATTGTAACAGTTGTGCCTGTGCAGGAAATGTATAAGGAAAGATGAGGAGGTGTTGGGTTGATTTTCTTGGCTCAGTGATAGCCACTTACTATAGTCTATCACTCCCTCACCAAGGTCATAGGAATTAGTCTACAGAAGGTAGAAGTGTTCTCTCCTACGTGCAGAAAGCTTTCTAGTTTGACTTTTCATTTTTAGATTTTTTTTTTTTTTTTTTTTTTTGATCATGGGGCTTTAACTCTGGGCTTGGGTGCTGTCCCTGTGCTCTTCAGCTCAGGATGAGTGCTCTACCGCTTGAGCCACAGTGCCACTTCTGGTTTTCTAGTGGTTTTATTGGAGATAAAAGTCTCAGTGACTTTCCTGCCAGGGCTGGCTTTGAACCGTGATCCTTAGATCTCAGCCTCCTGAGTAGTTAGGATTACAGGTGTGAGCCATGGGCGCCTGGCCATTTTCAGATTTTTTTATGTCTTTTATATTGCATATTGTCTTTCCACCCTCTATTTTTTTTTTTTTTTTTTTTGTCGGTTGTGGGTCTTGAACTCTGGGCCTGGGTGCTGTCCCTCAGCTCTTCAGCTCAAGGCTAGTGCCCTACCACTTGAGCCACAGCACCACTTCTGGCTTTTTCTGTTGATGTGGTACTGAGGAATCGAACCCAAGGCCTCTTGCATGCAAGGCAAGCACTCTACCACTGAGCCACCTTCCCAGCCCTTAAACATTTCAATGACTTTAGTCATGTTACATTTTAATAGGCCACTTATAAAAGCTGGAAATTGTAGTGTAGGAAAAGTACTTTGTGGGAAAAGTGTGCTTCTGGATAGTCCCATGACCATGGTGTCGCATGTGTACTTGTCTCTCTATCTAGCATACCTTTTTATACAAAACAACATTCAGCACAGTTTCTAGCGGTTGGTCTTTTAGAGATTCATAGCTTGGAAAAATCTCAATGATCCTTCAGCTTCAACTATTAAAAATTGATGACAACATTTTGAAAAGATGTTTGTTAATATTTGGTCTCCATAAATTCAAAACTACAAGAAATTCTCTGAAGGCATTTTTGTGAAACTTGATTGGTGAATACAAAATATCTTTAGTCTTTTTTTCTTCTTTTTCTTAGTACTAAGGACTCAACTCAGGATCCTAAGCATATTAGGCAAGTGCTCTCAACTGAGTTACATCCCAAGTCATTTTGTGTTAACTTTCTTTTCTCTATATTCTTTCTTTTTATCTATTTATTATCTGTCATTATCTTGATTTTAGTCTTGGGGTATCTAGGAGGACTATAGGCAGGAGCTACCAGTGCCAGGTGGACTGTGGATTTAAAGTTCAACTTATTGCTGTTTGTGTTTTTGAGGGTGCTGGGAATTGAACTCAAGACCTAATGCATGCTAGACACATACTCTGCCACTTGCTACATCCCTAGCCTGGTTGTGTATTTTTTGTATAATTATTATTTTTATTTATTTATTTATTTTGGTTGGTCGTGGGGCTTGAACTCTGGGCTTGGGTGCTGTCCCTGCACTCTTCAGCTCAAGGCAAGCGCTCTACCACTTGAGACACAGCGCCACTTCTGGTTTTCTAGTGGTTTATTGGAGATAAGAGTCTCACGGACTTTCCTGCCTGGGCTAGCTTTGAACCGCGATCCTCAGATCTCAGCCTCCTAAGTAACTAGGATTACAGGCATGTATAATTATTTTTTTATATGAAATTGAGATGTCATGGTTGACTTGTGTTTTTAATCCATCCTGACAAATGGATTTCCAAACATGTTTTCGTGAAAGGCTAAAAATTAAGTAAATTCTTAAAGGTTATGGTGTTTGTAATAAATACTGCCAAATAATTCTATGAAAGTTAGAGTTCAGATATAATTTAATGAGCTGGGAATGTGGCTTAGTGATAGAGTACTTGTCTAGTATGCATGAAGCCCTGGGTTTGATTCCTCAGTGCCACCACATAAACAGAAAAAGCCATAAGTGGTTCTGTGGCTCCAATGGTAGAGTGCTAGCAAGAGAAGCTTGAACAAAAGAAACTCAGAAACAGTGCCCAGGCCCTGAGTACAAGCCCCAGGACCTCCCAAAAAAAAAAAAAAAAGATATAATTTAATGTTTGTGTTAAGTAGGTGGGTTATTTACATTGTTAAAAAACATTTGGGCCATGTGCTGATGGCTCACACTTGTAATCCTAACTACTCAGGAGGCTGAGATCTGAGGATCCCAGTTCAGAGCCATTCGGGCAGGAAAGTCCATAAGACTCTTTTCTCCATTAGAAAACAGGAAGTGGCGCTGTGGCTCAAGGGATAGAGCACTTGCCTTGAGCTTAAGAGCACAGGGACAGCGCCCAAGCCCAGAGTTCAAGCCCCATGACTGACCAAAGAAAAAAAAAATTGGCTCAAGAGTATATTCTGTTATTCATAAGATTATCCTTGAGACTCATTTAACAATAACTTATAAGTTCTTATTTTTACCAGATGCTGGTGGCTTATGCCTGTAATCCTAGCTACTCAGAAGGCTGAGATCTGAGGCTCATGGTTCAAAGTCAGCCTGGGCAGCAAAGTCTGTGAGACTTATCTCTAGTTAACCACCAGAAAACCAGAAGTGGCACTATGGCTCAAAGTAGTAGATTGCCAGCCTTGAGTAAAAAGCTAAGGGACAGTACCCAAACCCTGAGTTTAAGCCCTGGTACCAACGCACACACACACACACACACCTGGATGTTTCATCTAAAATGTTTTACTTTTTTGGGTCTGGGAAGGTGGCTCAGTGATAAAGTGCTTGCCTTGCATGTATGAGGCCCTGGGTTCGATTCCTTAGCACCACATAAGCAGAAAAAGCCGGAAGTGGCGTTGTGGCTCAAGTGGTAGAGCACTAGCCTTGAGCTGAAGAGCTGAGGGACAGTGCCCAGGCCCAGAGTTCAGGCCCCACAACTGACAAAAAAATAAAAATAAAAATAAAATAAATAAATAAAATGTTTTACTTTTTTTAGGGGGAGGCAATCCTGAGGGCCTTCCTCCTGTTAGGCAGGCACTCTACCAGTTGAACAATATCCTAGCCCTAAAATGTTTTACTTTTATTTAAATGAACATTTAAAATTTTAATATTTAATTTTAATATTTAATTTATGTTTGCTTTTTTTTTTTTTTTGTCTATCCTGGGGCTTGAACTCTGGCCCTGGGCACTGGCCTTGAGCTCTTAAGCTCAAGACGAGCATTCTACCACTTGAGCCACAGTGCCATTTTTGTTTTTCTGGTGGTTAATTGAAGATGAGAGTTTCACGGACTACTTTCCTGCCCTGGCTGGCTTTGAACTGTGATCCTCAGATCTCAGCCTCCTGAGTAGCTAGGATTACAGGTGTGAGCCACCAGTACCCAGCTAATGGTTAAATATTCTAAATATATTTCTTGTCCGCATTACTGACAGTTTGTAGATATGTGACATAAACATATAGCTCTCTGTCTGTCTGTCTGTCTGTCTCAGTCTCTCTGTCTCTGTCTCTGTCTCTCTCTCTCTCTCTCACACACACACACACACACACACACACACACACAGAGTCAAGGTTGTAAGAATAACCTCCAAGTTGACTTAACAGCTGACTGTTCAGCCTTCAAACCTTGCAAAACCAGATGCAAACTGGATGCCTGTGGAGGTGGAAACCTAATTTTGCCAATCCCTACTTCTCATGGTTGTGAGATGGTGAGTGTTCTGTATGATCATATGTGATAACTGTTTACAGAGTGCAAATTTGCTTCAAGGTTCCTCATGATTAGAAAGTATCATTTGCTAGGTGGGGCAGGAAAAGCTATGACACTCTTAACCTCCAATTAACCACCAAAAAGATTGAAGTAGAGCAGTGGCTCAAGTGATAGAGTGATACAGTCCTAAGCAAAAAAGCTCAGTGATAGTGGGCAGGCCCTGAGTTCAAGCCTCAGGATTGGCACACACACACAAAGTATCATTTATTCAAAGCTGGAACCTATGGCCTCCACTCCGCTGTGGATCAAGTGGCGGGGAGAGGCGCTATAGAGATGGTAACATTTTGAGCAGAGACCTGAAGGAGATTGTCAACCATGTGAAGATGTAGGAGAGCATTCGTTCTAGGCATAGAGAAAAAGTACAAAGGCCCTGAGTACAGACCAGTTTTCATGTGTTTAAGAAGACCAGGACTGGAGCAAGGTAATGAAGAGGCAGAGGGAGGGTATGGAGTTCACAACTGGCTGAATCAGCTGGGGCCTCAAAAGCCACTCATAACTTTGGCTCTTATTAGCTCCACAGGAAGGCACAAGTTGATTTTAAATATATTTCAGAATTTACCTTGGTTGGTGGCAACTAATTTGTAGGGAAGCATGTCTTCAAGAGAAGTTAATGGGGAGCTTATCCTGAGGAGGGAGGGCAGGGGTAGCAAAGGAGGTACAGAAATGAGTAGACTTGCTAGTGGGCTACATATGAGTGTAGAGGCTGTGGAGAAGTTTAAGGCTGTCATACAGGGCATTTACTTTAGACTCAGTGATAGCGCCTTTTATTGTGATCTAAGAGACTGGCAGAACAAGAACAACAGAGAGGGAAGCAAGTATTAAAGAACATGACTGGAAGTATCAGCTGTAGCGCTGCACAGTGGCAGATAGCCACTCATGCCACTAAGCTGTGTAATGTTGTTTATCATGTAGGGTGCAGAAAGGCATTCCCTAGATTTGCCTATCAGATTCTCCTATATGTTCTTTTCCTGTATGGTGGTTTTTTCAGAATGAAAAAGAGACTCCCCCAGCTGTGAGTGCTTCAGTATGTCTAGAGTACTGACATTGTACAGGCTGTAAAGTGTGTTTAGCAAGTGTGTGGCTTGTCTACCACTCTGTGTCTGGGTTGTTCTCCCCTTCTTCCTCTGTGCACCCAGTGAATGTTTCCATTTTCCCCCTAGAGCACCTAGAATTACTCATTGTACTTACTAAGTCTGTCTGTTTTTTTTTTTTTTTTGGTTGTTGTTGTTGTTAGTCATGGGTTTAAACTTGGGGCTTGGGCACTGTCCCTTAGCTCTTTTTGCTCAAGGCTACCAGTCTACCACTTTGAACCACAGCTCCACTTCTGGTTTTCTCATTGTTAATTGGAGATAAGACTCTCATGGACTTTCCTGCCCAGGTTGACTTTGAACTGTAATCCTCAGATCTCAATTTCCTGAGTAGCTAGGGTTACAGGTCTCTCAGCCACCAGTGCCCAGCTAAGTCTGTCTTCTCTACATAGTACTTTATATAATCTAAGAAATATTTGAACAAATTTTAAAAAGAAAGATATGACAGTTGTGAACTAATTCTAAAAACTTATGATTGACCCAGGTGCCGGTCTTGAGCCACAGCTCTATTTCCTACTATTTGCTGGTTAATTGGAGATGAATCTTAAGGGAAAAAAAATCCCCTCTGTACAGTGTTTTTACAATAAAATACATATAAAAATGTTAAAAAAAAAAGAGTCTTCAGAATTTTCCTGCCTAAGTTGGCTTCAGATTGCCATCTTTAGAACTCAGCTTCCTGAATAGCTAGGATTACAGGCTTGAGCACTAGTGCCTAGCTATGATTTAGGGCTTTTTAGTATGTCAGAAAAGTTTGATTTGTTTTGTTTTGTTTTTGGGTCCAGTCGTGAGGCCTGAACTCTGGGCCTGGGCGCTGTCCCTCAGCTCTTTAGCTCAAGGCTCCGCTCTACCACTTGAGCCACAGTGCTGCTTTCGGCTTTTTTCTTTTTGCTTATGTAGGGCTGAGGAATTGAACCCAGGGCCTCAGGCATGCAAGGCAAGCGCTCTGCCACTGAGCCACCTTCCCAGCCCCAGAAAAGCTTGAATTAGGTTATTTTTCCAAGAATCTTATCCAAAGTCCAAGATTTATCTTTTTTTTTTTTTTTTGGGTCCGGTCGTGGGGCCTGAACTCTGGGCCTGGGCACTGTTCCTCAGCTTTTCAGTTCAAGGCTAGCGCTCTACCACTTGAGCTACAGCACTACTTCCGGCTTTTTTCTTGTTTCTTATGTGGTACTGAGGAATTGAACCCAGGGCCTCATGCATGCAAGGCAAGCGCTCTATCACTGAGCCACCTTCCCAGCCCCCAAGATTTATCTTTTTGTTGGAGATTAAAAAATACGATTAAGTCTAGGCACTGGTGGCCTGTTCCTGTAATCCTAGTTACTTAGGAGGCTGAGATGTTAAGGATTATGATTCAAAGCCAGCCTGGACAAGGAAGTCTGTGAGACTCTTATTTCCAATTAACCACTAAAAAACTGAAAGTGAAGTTGTGGGCTCAAAGTAGTAGAGCACTATCCTTGAGCACAAAAGCTCAGGGACACTGCCCACTCACTGGGTAGGCGCTGTCTTTGTTTAACATTGAGCTCATGTCACTGCTCTGGAGCTGTCTGTTTTAGGGGACCAGATCTGACATTACTGTCTTTGAATCTGCAGTAGATAAACTCAAAAGTCTCACTAGACTTGGAACAGGTAAGGGACAATTTTATTAAAATGAGATCTTGGAGACAAAATACTTCTAAATTTATAAGGTTAATCTGCACCACTAATGAGAAAATCTTTGTGATACATTGAAAATAGAAATAAGTATGGGGATTTAGCTAGGTAAATATGCTCTTGAAAAGTTGTCTTAAGTGATGGACTGATGATTTTTATTTTTAATCTAGTTCATAATAAAATGAAATTTATTTCTGTTTTCAGATTTGAACTCTTTTTGTAATAGTAGATGCTTACCAGTTGTGATCTCACATTTCTGAGCCCTTTAGAATCCGTTGTGATTTACCTGTAAGGTTTATACTTATGATTGGTTATCAAAAATGCATTTAGATATTTTAATTGATTTTTCCCACTGATGAATGTCTGATTCACCAATAGCCAGGTCAATGACTGTCATCGGGTTTTAGGGTAAGTGAGAGATAGATCACAGTGAATTAATTCTGTCTGCTTCTGGGGTCATTGCTACTTTGCCAGCTTTGAAGAAGTTTAACTCTTGAGTTGGGTTTTTTATGTGCACTGAGTCAAAATTGCAGTTTGAGAATGGGCCAGGAAACTAAATTCTAACAAATATTCTATGGATACACATTCTATATGCACTAAAACTTTTAAAAAATGCTTCTGTAGCTTACTCAAAGAAAAGCAAATAGGAATATATTTTAATGTGGTTACAAATGACACATACAATCACTGGTCTAGGATTGGCCCTGTGTATATTGTGTTTTGTTTGGTCCATCGTGGGGCTTGAACTCTTGTCCTGAGCACTGTCCTTGAGTTCTTCAGCTCAAAGTGAGTGCTCTACCACTTGAGCCACAGCAGCACTTCCCGTTTTATGGTGGTTTATTGGAGATAAGAGTCTCAGGGACTTTTCTGCCCAGCCTGGCTTTGAACCTTGATCCTCAGATATCAGCCTCCTGAGTTAGGATTACAGGTATGAGCCACCTGCACCATGCTTTGTGTATATTGTTTTAACATGTGACCTTAGCAAAATTATTTAGCCTTTTTAGGTATCCAGATTGCCATTTGTAAAATAAAGATCTACTCTGTTACATTCCGTAAAGCTGTGCTTGACTTGTAAATTTATCAAAAATAAAATTATTCACATACTCCATCTTCTATCAGCAGCACATATGATAGTTTGTCTTGCAGGTATTTGTCTCTGTGTATGTGTGTGTGTGTGTGTATGTACGTGCATGCACGTGTGTTTGTGTAAAAATGGAGCCATTTCTCACACCATCCATCTTTCTTGCAGTCTGGTAGCAGCCCTAATGAAGAGACACCCCAGCCTTTAACACAGGTCCTGGACCCAGCACAGCAGTGTTGAGCAAGAGAATGGCCCAGCCAGCGAATGTCGGGGAGCTGCTCTCCATGCTAGACTCCACCATGCTGGGCGTGCGTGATGATGTAACAGCTGTCTTTAAGGAGAATCTCAATTCTGGTAAGTCAGAGGATGTCCTTTTTAGCTTATCTGTTCGCAAAAAGAGATAGATCTAGAGGCAACTAGAATTTGGAGGACAAATTTTAGTTTTTGTCTTTGTAAGAAAGTTTTATTTTCATTTTCATTTTCTTCTTCTTCTTTGTTTTTTTTTTGTTTTTTTTTTTGTAAGTCTTAGGGTTTGAACTGTGTCTGAGCTTCTTTTGCTCAAGGCTAGCACTCTACCACTTGAGCCACAGTGCCACTTCTGGCTTTTTCTGTGTATGTGGTACTGAGAAATCAAACCCAAGGCTTCAGGCATGCTAGGCAAGCACTCTTACCACTAAGCCACATTCCCAGCTCTGGAAGAGAGTTTTTAACTACTAGAAGAGAGCAGATATTAATGGATTGCACTGTATGTGTTTCATATGTTTAGTTCTCAAATATATACACAAAGAAGCAAGAATCCTGGAGTAAACCCATGAATCCTGTTTCAAGGTTTCTGCCACTTACAAAAATAATTTTGTTGTTCTTATGAAGGTATTCAGAGGGATTACCATTTCATAAGTCAGATAATGAGTACATTTCTTTTTTGGACAGTGTCACACCTTCCTTTGCTTTTCCCTAGTTTCCTCCACCTATCCCTGACCACAATTTACATAGGTAGTTTCTGCCATTTTCTCTTACCTCTCTGACTTTCTCCCACCTAGAGAATTTTAAAAATCATGCATCTTGTTTCATCTGTAAATCTTTTTTTTTTTTTGGTCTTACTTTGCTCTGGTGCTGGTACCAGAACTTGATCTTAGGGGCTTCAAACTCTCAACCAGTTTTTTTGCTTAAGGCAAGTGCTCTACTACCACACTTCCAGTCCCACCTTTTTGTTTGTTTGTTAGAGAAATGAGTCTGTCAGTTTTGTCTGCCAGGGCTAGCAGACAAACTGGTCAAACCATGATTCTTAGGTCTCAGCTTCCTGAGTAGCTAAGATTATAGGTTTGAGCCACCAGTGCCTAGCACATGTATGGGTTTTTGAAAAAAAAAACCTTTTAATTGTTATTATAAAGGAGATGTACACTGAGGATTGTGGTTTGAAGCCAGCCCAGGCAGAAAGTCTGTGAGACTCTTATCTCAATTAAACTACTTTGAAAAAGCCAGAAGTGGCATTGTGGATCAAGCAGTAGAGTGCTAATCTTGGACAAAAGAATCTCAGGGGGCTGGGAAGGTGGCTCAGTGGTAGAGCGCTTGCCTTGCTTGCCTGAGGCCCTGGGTTTGATTCCTCAGCACCATATAAGCAAAAAGAAAAAAGCTGGAAGTGGCATTGTGGCTCAAATGGTAGAACACTAGCCTTGAGCTGAAGAGCTGAGGGACAGCGCCCAGGCCCAGAGTTCAAGCCCCATGACCGGACCCAAAAAAAGAAAAAGCTCAGGGATGGTGCCTAGGTCCTGAGTTCAAGCCCCAGGCCTGGCAAAAAATAAAAAAAATAGGGCTGGGAAGGTGGCTCAGTGAACAAGTGCTTGCCTTGCATACATGAATCCCTGGGTTCGATTCCTCAGCACCACATAAGCAGAAAAAGCCAGAGTGGCACTGTGGTTCAAGTGATACAGCGCTAGCCTTGAGCTGAAGAGCTGAGGGACAGCGCCCAGGCCCCATGACCAACCTAAATAAATAAATAAATAAATAAATAAAGGCGATGTACAGAGGGGTTACAATTACAAATGTCAGGAAAAGAGTACATTTCTTCTTTTCTTTTTTTTTTTTTTGTTCAGTCCTGAGGCCTGAACTCTGGGCCTAGACGCTCTCCTTCAGCTCTTCAGCTCAAGGCTAGCACTGTATCACTTGAGCCACAGCACCACTTTCGGCTTTTTCTGCTTATGTAGTGCTGAGGAATTGAACCCAGGGTCTCATGCATGCAAAGCAAGCACTCTCCCACTGAGCCACCTTCCCAGTCCCTCTTTTTTTCTTTTTTCTTTTGGTCAGTTGTGGGGCTTGAACTCAGGGCCTGGGCACTGTTCCTGAGCTCTTTTGCCCAAGGCTAGCACTCTACCACTTTGAAGCATTCTACCACTTTGAACCACAGCACCATTTCTCGTGGTTAATTGAAGGGAAGAATCTCATGGATTTTTGTGCCTGGGCTGGCTATGAACTGTGATCCTCAGTCTCAGTCTTCTGATTAGCTAGGATTACAGGCATGAGTCACAAGCATTCGGCTGAGAGTACATTTCTTTTTGGACAATGTCACCCCTTCCCTTGCTTTTCTCAATTTTTCCCTCCTGTCCCTTTGTCCCCCACAAGTTGTATAGTTCATTTTCAACATCATATGTTTGTTTTTTAGTGTGAAAACTGGTCAACCTCTCTTTAACCAGAGAGCACAAACTTTTTTCTTGTTTTGATTTTTGTTTTTGTTTTTGTTGGTCATGGGGCTTGAACTCTAGGCTTGGGCACTGTCCCTGAGCTCTTCAGCTCAAGGCTAGTTCTCTACCTCTTGATCCACAGTGCTACTTCCAGCCTTTTCTGTTTATGTGATGCTGAGGAATCGAACCCAGAGCCTCATGCAAGGGAGGCAAGCACTCTATTGCTGAGCCACCTTCCCAGCCTCTCTTGTTTTGATTTTTGTGCCAGTCTTAGGGCTTGAACTCCAGGCCTAGTAACTTTCCCTGAGGATTTTGGCTCAAGGCTAGTGTTCTACTACTTGAGCCACAGCTCCACTTCTAGTTTTTGCTGGTTAATTGGAGATAAAAGTCTCATAGACTTTCCTGCCTGATCTTAGCTTTGAGCCACAATCCTCAGGTCTCAGCCTCTTGAGTGAGTATGATTATAGGCATCAATCACTGGTGTCCAGCTGTAATTTTGGTTTTTAACACTAGATCTGGATATTTTTTTGTAATTAAAAAATGACTATTTTGGGCTGGGAAGGTGGCTTAGTGGTAGAGTGCTTGCCTAGCATGCATGAAGCCCCAGGTCCAATTCCTTAGTACCACATAAACAGAAAAAGCCAGAAGTGGTGCTATGACTCAAGTGGTAGAGTGCTAGCTTTGAGGAAAAGAAGCTCAGGGACAGCGCCCAGATCCTGAGTTCAAGCTCCAGGACTGGCAAAAAAAAAAAAAAAGACAGACATTATTTTATATGCTTTTATGATTATTAAGCAAGTATGCTTGGAATTATTGTTAAACCTAAATGAATTTAAGGAGGCATAAGCAATGCAATGTAAAACTTTGGGTGGCAGATAAAGAGCTATCAACATCTAGGCAAATATTTGGGGTAAATTTAGAATGCTAAAGGAACTAAATATATTATTCTACATTTAGATCGTGGTCCCATGCTTGTAAACACCTTGGTGGATCATTACCTGGAAACCAATTCTCAGCCGGTATTGCACATCCTGACTACCTTGCAAGAGCCACATGATAAGGTAACTACTGAAATGTAATAGGAGGGTATTTAATATGTCTCTAAGGCTCATTTGACAGCATCTACGCAAGACTGCACAGTCTGTCCAGAGCTTCCTTACTTGATTTCTGTATACCACAGTTGATGTTATTCCCATATAAAATCAATTTGCTTTCTGGGAAGTTTACAACATAAAACCTACTGCAGAAGCTTTTAAAGCTCTTACTCTTCAAAGAATTCTATAATCCCAATACTATAATTTTATAGTGGTTATTTGACCTATAACCCATGCTTTGAACTTTTAGGACTTTTTGACATATTGATATGGGAAAATAGTGTAAATAACTCTGTGGCTAACTAATGAGCTCCTACTCTCTAACCCAAGCACTTGGAATGCTCTTTGCTGTTTTCCTTTTGTTTCTGATAAATAGCTAACAAAACATTGTGATTGCTAAGTCTGCTAAGTCTGCTAAGTCTTGAGTTGGTGTGAGTGACTTTGCTAAGATATGAAGACTTTGCCAATATGTTTTGTTGTTTTCCTTACTCTGGGTCAGATTTCTACTGCCTAATTTATATCTGGAGCCAATGCCCATATGCTGGCTTGCTGTAGCAGTAAGGGTCTTCCAGCAGGAGTCCCATGGCCTCAGTAACCTATCACAGGTTTGAAATCAGTAGTTGTTACAAGGGCAGCTGTTCAAGTGTCTCCCTCCTCAAGCAGCCTGGTATAATGGGGATCCTTTTTCATAAATTGCAAACTAGCTGTTTTCTGTCAGGCCCAAAGAACCAAAGTTTATTTGCTAACATGGTTTTTAAAAATCTTGGTTTTCTTTTTATGGACTTGAGGGAAGACTTGAGAGACTAAGGTCCATCCCTGCTGACAGTATTTGGGTTTAACTTCCTAAGTCATGTGAGGATTTCCCTTGTCTTTTTGCACTTTCAGCACCTCTTGGATAAAATTAATGAATACGTGGGCAAAGCCGCCACCCGTTTATCCATTCTCTCACTGCTGGGGCACGTCGTGAGGCTGCAGCCATCTTGGAAGCATAAGCTCTCTCAAGCACCTCTTTTGCCTTCTTTACTAAAATGTCTAAAGGTAGGATATTTAATGATTTGAGTGAATTGGCTCTATGAGGGGCTGGGAAGGTGGCTCAGTGGTAGAGCGCTTGCCTTGCATGCATGAGGCCCTGGGTTCGATTCCTCAGCACCACATAAGCAGAAAAAAAAAGCCGGAAGTGGTACTGTGGCTCAAGTGGTAGAGCGCTAGCCTTGAGCTGAAGAGCTGAGGGACAGCGCCCAGGCCCAGAGTTCACGCCACACGACCTGACCCCCCCCCCCCCAAAAAAAAAAAAAAAAAAAAAGTCTCATGGACTTTTCTGCCCAGGCTGGCTTTGAACCAAGATCCTCAGATCTCAGCCTCCCGAGTAGCTCAGAATACAGGTGTGAGCTACCAGTGCCAGCCAAGTTTCTGACACTAATCTCCAGTTAACCAGCAAAAAGCCAGAAGTGAAAATATAGCTCAAGTGAGTGAAAAAGCTAAGGGCTAGGATAGTATAGTAGTTTAAGACCCAGTATAAAACATACATAACACACACACACACACACACACACACACACATCCCTTGTAAATTCTCTTACAATAGACATGGATTTTTGTAATTAAAAAAAGGTATTATGGGCTGGACATGTGGCCTAGTAGTAGAGTACTTGCCTCGCATGCATGAAGCCCTGGGTTCGATTCCTCAATGCCACATAAACAGAAAAAGCCAGAAGTGGTGCTGTGGCTCAAGTGGTAGAGTTCTAGCCTTGAACAAAGAGAGGCTCAGGGACAGAGCTCAGCCCTGAGTTCCACCCCCAGGACCTGCAAAAAAAAACCAATAATTAAAAATTAATTAAATATATATAACTTTTTATGGATCCTTAAAAGTCCCTTTATCCATTTAGAAGTACATTCTAGTGGCACCTATAACTAAAGATGGAATGTCTGGCTGATTTTGAGACTGAATCTCACTGTGTAACCCAGATTGGTCTGGAACTCACTATATAATCTAGACTAGTCTTGAACTCATGACCCCAGCCTCCCAAATGCTGCGATTGCAGCATTGTATACCATCATGTGTACCAGTGCCATTATCTTTTTTTCCATCAAGTTTTTCTTCTCCTTCTCTCACTTTCTTAGTTTGTTTTGGCACCTGTACTTATTTTGTATATATAAAATAGTGAGCATGGTTCCTAGCCACTACCTCCCTTACAGAGATGCAGGCATATCCAGCAGTTTTGGGGCTGGGTGTCAGTGCCCCTGGATTCATCTGCTACAGCACAGTGCATATTGACTTTTGTTTCTGCCAAGAAGGGCACCTGCTTTATCATCCCCAGAAGTAGGTATTTTAAAATGTGCATTTGATGTTATGAAAAAGCAGGAACAGGTGTGTGTGTGTGTGTGTGTGTGTGTGTGTGTGTGTGTGTGTGTGTGTGTGTGTGTGTGTGTGTGTGTGTGTGTGTGTGTGTGTGTGTGTGTGTGTGTGTGTGTGTGTGTGTCCACCAGCCACTTCCGGTTTTCTAGTGATTTATTGGAGATAAGAGTCTCACAGACTTTCCTGCCCGGGCTGGCTTTGAACTGTGATCCTCAGATCTCAGCCTCCTGAGTAGCTAGGATTACAGGTGTGAGCCACCAGTGCCTGGCTGGTTTTTGTTTGTTTTTGAGATAGTCTCATTATGTAGCCTCAGCTTCTAGAGTACTGTGATTATAGGTGTGTGCACCATTACACCTGGATACAGGAACAGTTTTTACTACTTCAAATCCTTAGAGCAAATGGATTGATAGAAGATAATCCAATTTTGAGGAACCACATTTAGTTCAGATTGTAAAGCATTTACCTTTCTGGGATGTAGCTCAGTGGTAAAGCACTTGCCTAACAATGTTTTCTGGGTTTGAACCTCAGTATCAAAAATAGAAAAAATACAAAACAGTTCAAAAGGGTAATATGCCTTAAATATTACTCAGGAACTGTTATCCAGGATTGCAGTTAGAATGTTATATAAATGAAATTAGTTCTTTTTGGTGGACTCATTATGCATTCTCATTTTATATTCCCAATTTTTTTAACCAAATTATTCTTTTTATTAGATAACTGCCACAATAGAAAATTGGTGCTTGGTGTAAAAATTAAATACATCTAAAGCTTTATTTCCAGACTTATAGATGCCTCTTTTATTAGGAGTAATGGATGTTTTAGCCTACTATGTGGTAGTCTCTTGATAAGTGTCTTGTTTATAAATCCTAGTTTCAGATACTTGACAAAGATCTGTGATTTAATTGTGAGTCAGGTAAGATGCTATAGTCTGTGCTGAATAGTTATTCATTCAGTGTTGTGTTTTCATTTAGCTTAAAGTTATTTGAATTGACATTTAAGCTAAGAGCATGGTTAGAGCTTATTTGAGGTTCTGCAAATACTGCTACAAAGGTGAGCAAATAAGTTGTCTTGTTAATGCCATTTGAATTTCTTCTCCAATTATAATTTTGTAGTCATCCTTTAAAAAAACAGTGGGTTGGGCTGAAGGTACAGCTCAATGGTAGAGCTCCTTCACAGCATGCGCGAGGCCCTGGGTCTGATGTCCAGCTCTGTAAATTAAAAAAGGAAAAAGAAGAATGAATTATTTGTCAGTAGGTTTTTTGTTGTTGTTGTTTTATCGGTCATGGGGTTTGAACTTTTGGCCTAGGCGCTGTCCCTGAGCTCTTCAGTTCAAAGTGAGTGCTCTACCACTTGAGTTACAGTGCTACTTCCGGTTTTCTGGTGGTTAATTGGAGATAAGAGTCTCATGGACTTTCCTGCCCGGGCTAGATTTGAACGGTGATCTTCAGATCTCAGCCTCCTGAGTAGCTAGGATTACAGGTGTGAGCCACTGGCACCCGGCTTTGGCAATGTTTTTAAACTGACTTAACAAAAAGTACATATCTTAGGATTAGGATCGATGCATGGATGAAAACAGAGCAATATTTCTGTGTTCTGTTATCAACCAACTTCTGTGTTTCTATCCGATTACAAGAGGGGATCTTGAGGTTTCGGTACTTGGTGAGTTCTTAGGCCAAGTTAAACTAACTTCCCAGTTGCAGTGGTATAAGTGTGTTGGAAATGGTTCTCCTAGATTCACCGTGGCACTACATCTCAGTCTTCTTTTCTTTATTACTGTTTTTTAATTATTTTGAGTTAGGGTCTTTTTTTCCTGTGTGAAACCCCTTCAGTGGCAGTAGCCCACAGGTAAAGGCCAGGCAATGGTTCAGAGCCACAGTTTGGTCTGGCATGGGACACTATGAGAGGCCCAGGGGGACAGGCCTGCCATAAATCCAACCCATGCATATCTCAGTCTTTCTGTTGAAGCATTCTAGGAAATGATCGTGTGAAGAGCTTCTGATTTGTGATCTCTCAGTACTGAGAACTTCATCATGCAACGTGCAACACTGAACCTAGTGCTGGTCCTGACACTCTGCTTGCCCTTCTTTCTACAGATGGACACCGATATCGTCGTTCTCACAACAGGTGTCTTGGTGTTGATCACCATGCTACCAATGATCCCACAGTCGGGGAAGCAGCACCTGCTCGATTTCTTTGATATCTTTGGCCGTCTTTCGTCATGGTGCCTAAAGAAACCAGGTATAGATCTGCATGTCCCTATCAGGTTCTACCTGGTACATCCTACTTACTGGTCAACAGGCAGTTGCTGTGAGGGAGATGCGAAGTTGAAGGCTGAAATGAGTGGTGTTGACTAGATATGAGGAAATGCTTAGGTATGTCTACTATGCAGGCACATGTGGGAGACACAGCTGGTGAGTTACCTGCCTTCTTTTGATTGCCTGATGGGCTTACATGTGGCAAGACTGAAAACTTCTCCTGGACTTTCAGGAGTTAAACTGAAACATAACTTCCATCCATGTACTTGTAGATAGGACTAAGCATGTCATGTGGACTGTTTTTGACTTATGATCCTGATCTTTTGTGTCAGATCACAAACTTTGATTCTGAGAACCGGTTGGTTATATATGTAGAAAGAGGGGGAAAATTGCTGGTGTCCTAATTAGTAATTGAGTTCCAAATGCACCAGAATGCTTTTTCTCTGTCAGCAGGTAGCACATACTTTATCAAAGTGATTCAGAAACTATAAACCTGTGAAATTCAGAATCTTTTGGTAATCTCAGTGTGAAATTTCTTATTGAAAGGGTATGATCTATAAGATCCACCAGAACGAGTGCTTTGCTGGACAGGATTAAACAAAAGGCACAGGCCTGCAGTGATGCTGGCTTACTTAGTAGGACCTTCTTCGTTAGAAGAGTAGCTTCCATATGGAGTTGCTGAGTTTTCCATAGGGTAAGACTGAATTAATGGAATTGTCCATTCCCCCTGCTTCTGGCAATTTATGCTAATTCTGCATAATAGCTGTTTTTCAGTCTTCAGTTATAGCTCTGCATAGCCAAGATAGCATCCTGATTTTAAAAGGTTCTCACATGCTTGATCCACAAACACTTGAATGTTCATTGCACATTACGAACTGTGCAGAGCTCAGGAGCTATGGGCTGGGAGGGTGGCTCAGTGGTAGAGTGCTTGCCTTGCATATATGAGGCCCTGGGTTCGATCCCTCAGCACCACATAGCAGAAAAAAAAAGCCAGAAGGGGTGCTGTGGCTCAAGTGGTAGAGTGCTAGCCTTGAGCTGAAGAACTGAGGGACAGCGCCCAGGCCCATCAGAGTTCAGGCCCCACGACCGGACCCTCCCCCCGCCCAAAAAAAAAAAAAAAAATAAGCTCAGGAGCTAGAGAGGCAAGTAATCTGGTCCTTTCCCCCCAGAAGTACGTGCTGCATTAGCTGTGGAAAAGTATCATTACAAATTATGGGGAACATGACTACTTGGTATATACATAGGCTACTTGGTATTGTGAGAATACTGCGAGCCTTTCTTGGAGGATGACTGTGGAGGAAGGCAGTCCTATTGGATAACACTAAGCAGTTTGAAGTTTATCCAAAGGCCATAGAAGCCACTGGTAAGTTTTAAATACTAGTGCCTGGTGTTCAGAGAAAGACACTGTGACTTAACCTCTTTGGAGTGCTACAAGGGTATACATACATAAAAACTTACATGTGTTCATGTAGGCTTTGTACTTGTCAGCCGTGTAAGTATAACCAAGTCTCCTCTTCCTGGATTCCTTTTTTAGGCCATGTGACAGAAATCTACCTTGTCCATCTCCATGCCAGTGTTTATGCCCTCTTTCATCGCCTTTATGGAATGTACCCTTGCAACTTCGTCTCCTTTCTGCGTTCTCACTATAGTATGAAGGAAAACTTAGAAACCTTTGAAGAAGTGGTCAAGGTAAGTTAAAAATGTTCATTTATTTGCTACTTAGTATATTATTCAGACAAGTTACAATTATAGCTTTTATATAATTGTATGGCACCAGGGGAAATTTCGTAAAGAAATCCAGCCTTCCTCCAAAACCCTCACCTCATTCATAGGCACCACAGTTGCTATTATGTACATTTCTTATAAAAGGTGTGTAATATGCTCTTTTATGACTGGCTTCTCACTTAACATGCTTCAAAGTTCATATTGTTACATGTATCAGTTTTTCATTCCTTTTTATTGTCAAGTAATATTCCATTTTGTGGATATGCCACAAAATTCATACCTATAATTTGTCAACCCAAACTCTTCTAGCCAATGATGGAGCATGTGCGAATTCACCCGGAATTAGTGACTGGATCCAAGGACCATGAACTGGACCCTCGAAGGTATAGAAACTAAATTAGTGATAGAATTTTTAAGAGTCTCTTAAGAGATTGAAACTGTGATCTAAGAGATCCCTGTTGAGGTATGAGTTGGGAATATAGATGTTCTAGTTAGAAAATCAGGTGGAACTTGTTGGAGTCTAAAGTATGTTCCTCATAGTCTGAGAGCTCATAGCTCCTTTCACCGTGGAGCAGTGGCAGTGCAAGATCCTGCCCCCAGAGCCCAGGAAGACTTACCCTTTGGTGGGGGTAGCATTGCTCAAGGAAGGAGGTGAAGTGGGTGTCTAAAAACAAGTGGATTGTAGAAAGGCTGTATTTCAACTGGTGGGCCTCCCTGGATTTCTCCACTCACATATGGTGCCTGTCAACCCACCCTGGGCACTCTTGGAGTTCCCAGGTTTGTTTTCTGGAGTCAACTGAACCTGCCTGCAAGGCTCCTGAGTTGAATGGAGCCGGGGTTGAGGAGGGAAGTGAAAGAAATTCAATGAGCCACATCTTGAGAAGCATAGCTCCTACCTCTACATTTTCTGGCTGCAGACAGGATTATTCTCCCCAGTGAGAGGATGGAGCTTTTGGAGGAAACTGAACTACAGCTGTTGACCTTTGGGGTCTCTTACTGAAAAGGCTGGCTTGTTGCTTGATTCCCTTACAAAGAGTCTCATCTCTTCATGAACTCTTGTCCCCATGACACAGCTCAGTCAGTTTAAAGCGACTTCTTATGAGATGCATCGTATGGATAGAAGTGTAGACGAGTGTACATATAAGGTTTAATAATAACACAAATGCACACAGCCTAAGTCAGCACCCAGCCTAAAATGTGGAGCATTGCCAGTACCTTAGGAGACCCCCATGAGACCCTCTTCCCTTTTCCACCTAGAGACAACTATTGCTCTTGTTTTTTGTTTCATTTTGTTGTTATTTTATTTTCTTGCAGTGCTGGGGCATTGGGCATGCTAGGCAAACACTTATTACCAAACTACATCCCAACCCTGCTGTTACTTTTATGTTAGTTTTTCCGTCAATTGTCTTTCTAGTTTTGTTGCATATGCTGCTCTGTTTTGAGTCGCTGTTGGGAACCAGATCAGCTGAAGGGCAGTCTCATGCGGGATGAAGGCCAGAGCAGTGCCTGAGCCTTGTTCTGCTTTGGCTACACCGTCCTTGCCCCTTTGGGGAAGTGATTGCACAAGGTCAAAAGTGAAGCTTGTCGGGCATAGCCTCCAAGTGTGGGCTGATACAAGATGTGCTGTGCTGGCTGTTTCCAGTTCTTAGGAGTAGGGCCCAGCAGAATCTTTTGTGGGGGGAAAATCAACATCCTCTGCTGATCTGACAGAGAAGGGAGAGTAAGAACTTCAACAGTTATCTGGGCCAGGTCATCTGGCTGTGTTCCAGGGCTAAAAGGGAAATGCAAGGCAGCAGAACATTGGAGGTAGCCTGCAGTGTGCTTGTTCTTTGGCAGGTCTGTTCTGAACCAAACTGGTTGTGGTTTGTACCTGGTACTTGGCTGTCAGCCTGATCTCATTTCCTGTGTCTAGTGTGTTCTTTCTAGGTTTATTCAGTTGTTCTTGGAGTATATGCTATCATAGCCTTCTGAGGACAGATGCAGTTGTTTGGCTGGTTGTAAACTTCTCTATTAGGAGTCAGTCTTAGTGATTGTAGGCGGTATTCCATTGCTGTCTTGCTGCCAGTGTTGCCGTTGAAATCCAAAGACATTCTGATGTTAGATCATCTGTATTTTCCTATGTGGGAGCTGGCACAGTGTTTCTCTTACTGGCATGATACTCTGAAATTTCCTTCTGGTGTACCTTAGTGTGAATCTAGTTTCATTGTTCAGCTTACAGTTCTGTTCTTTTAAGTTCTAGGAAATTTTCATTCATATTTTGTGCCTTGTTTTCATTGTTCTGGTTGTCCCTGTCTTTCCATCCAGAACTAGTATTGTGATTGAGATCTCTTGTTTTTTTCTTTCTACCAATATGTTTTACTTTAGATTTCCCTATCTTTGGCTTTTAGTCCTGTGCTAGTGATAGTTGCTATTTCTACCACCATGATTGTGTGTATGTGGGGGTAGGTACTATCCTGGTACTGGGGCTTGAATTCAGGGCTTGGATGCTGTCCCTGAGTACAACTTGAGCCTTAGGCTTTTTGGAGATAAGAGTCTCACAGATTTTCCTGCCCCTGGCTGAGAATTGGGTATCGAACCTTGATCCTCCTGAGTAGCTAGGATTACAGGTGTGAACACTGGTGCCAGCTACCACCAAGTATTCTTTTTAGTTTCCAGAAAGCTTCTTTTAAAATTTATTTTTAGGGGCTGGGAATGTAGCTTAGTGGAAGAGTGCATGAGGCCCATGGTTCAATCCTCAGTACCACATAATCAAAAGAATAAAATAAATAAAAATAAAAAAATACTTTTAGAATGCTTTTTTTTTGTTTGGTCATGGGGCTTGAACTCTGGGCTTGGGTGCTGTCCTTGCGCTCTTCAACTCAAGGCGAGTGTTCTACCACTTGAGCCACAGCGCCACTTCCGGTTTTCTAGTGGTTTATTGGAGATAAGAGTCTCATGGACTTTCCTCCCTGGGATGGCTTTGAACCATGATCCTCAGATCTCAACCTCCTGAGTAGCTAGGATTACAAGGGTGAGCCACCGGTGCCCCACTAGAATGCTTCTTTTCTTTTCTTTTTTCTTTTCTTTTCTTTTCTTTTTGGGTCCAGTCACGGGGCCTGAATTCTGGACCTGGGCGCTTTCCCTCAGCTCTTCAGCTCAAGGCTAGCGCTCTACCACTTGAGCCACAGCGACACTTCCAGCTTTTTTCTTTTTGCTTATGTGTTGCTAGGAACTGAACCCAGGACCTCATGCATGCAAGGCAAGCACTTTACCACTTAGCCACCTTCCCAGCCCTAGAGTGCTTTTTTAATGGTAGCCTATTTTTGTTTTCTGGATACATTCTTCTGTGTCTTGGGGAATGTTGACAGTGTTTGTTTTGTTTTCCTTGTGCCTGTTTCTTCTAAAATGTTTTTGTTGTTGTTGTTGTTCCATCTTGGGGCTTGAACTTGGGGCCTGGACGCTGTCCCTGAGCTCTTTTCCTCAGGGCTAGCACTCTACCACTTTGAGCCACAGCACCACTTCGTTTTCTGGTGTTAAGGCTGGCTTTGAACTGTGATCCTCAGATCTTAGCCTCCTGAGTAGCTAAAATTACAGACATTAGCTACCAGTGTCCAGCACTTAAGATGCCTTATTTTTGTTTTGAATTGTTCTTTGTAAGTCTGAGGCTTTCTACAAGGATTTAGTAGTTTGCTTGTGTTTAGATGGAGAGACTTAAAAAGTGTTGACGTTGGATTTTGTTGTGTGTTGATCTGACCATTTGCAGGAGATACTGATATCAGTGTTGTCTTTTTGAGGTAGTCAGGTGCTTAGAAAAGATCTTCTGGTTTCCAGGCTGGTGAGGATTTGGTTACTGCTGGAGGAAGAGACTGGAAGTGAGGAGGGTTTGGTGGTATTGGTGTTCAGAATGTAGTTCTCACTTAATTCTCCTGTTTGCAACTTGTGCTCTCAACAACTATGGAATACATCATCCTTATTTATTCTCCAGAGAATAATCCAGATTTCTGGTGAGAAAAGAGTCATTGCCTAGGAGCCTAGAGTTGGGAAGGGACCTCTAGATGCTCAGTGCTCCCACATCAAATCTCACCCTGGTTACCTTAGGCCCTCATCTTCTGCAGTTATTCCAGAAGCTCTTATGATGTGAGTTCTTCACTATCTAAGGATTCTGTAGTACAAATCAGTTAACTTATATCTTTGAAGCATTAACATGTTAGGACTCTGTTTCATCCAGTTTCTGTGTGTGTGTGTGTGTGTGTGTGTGCATGTGCATGCGTGCATGCCTATGTGCATGCATGCATGTGTGTGTGCCAGTATAGGGGTTTGAACTCAAAGCCTGTGCTTTTTTTTTTTTTTGTCGGTCGTGGGGCTTGAACTCTGGGCCTGGGCACTGTCCCTCAGCTCTTCAGCACTCAACAACTTGAGCCAGAATGCCACTTTTGCCTTGTACTTTCATTTGGCAGTTTGCTCATGATCGGTGCTCTACCACTTGAGCCATGCATCCAGTACAGTATTTTGTTGGTTAATTGGAGGTAAAATCTTATTAAGACTTAGTAAGGCTGGGTACCCGTGGCTCATGCCTGTAATCCTAGCTACTTAGGAGGCTGAGATCTGAGGATCGCAGTTCAAAGCCAGCCCAGGTAGGAAAGTCTATGAGATTCTTATCTCCAATAAAGCACTAGAAAACCGGAAGTGGCACTGTGTAGAGTGCTGGCCTTGAGCTGAAGGGTGCAGGGACAGCGCCCAAGCCCAGAGTTCAAGCCTCATGATCGGACAAAAAAAAACCCCATAAGCAAACAAAGATAGAGGAGAAAAAGGAACTAGAAAGAAACACTGATTACAGAAAGCAGAGAAATTGTAGAGAACTTCTGCAGAGGATAGCATTTGTGTTCGGGCTGTCTGAAGATTAGGATGTCACAGGAGGACCATTCTGAGACTAAAGAATAAAACACTTGAAAATGAAAAATGATACCCCAAACAAACTTTTTTCGATGATCCTGGAAACTCAGGGCCTTGCACTTGCCAGTCAGGTACTCTATCACTTGAGTTTTCCACCATTTTTGCTTTTCCTGTTTTTTAAAAAAAAATACATATTATTTATTTTTTTATTTTTATTTTTTTAATTTTTTATTTTTCCCCAGTTGTGGGGCCTGAACTCTGGGCCTGGGCGCTGTCCCTCAGCTCTTCAGCTCAAGGCTAGCGCTCTACCACTTGAGCCATAGTGCCACTTCCGCTTTTTTCTTTTTGCTTATGTGGTGCTGGGGAATCGAACCCAGGGCCTCAGGCATGCAAGGCAAGCGCTCTACCACTGAGCCACCTTCCCAGCCCACATTATTATTTATTTATTTATTTTTGGTTGGTCTTAGGGCCTGAACTCTGGGCCTGGGCACTGTCCCTCAGCTCTTCAGCT